ACTAGAGTCAGGAGTGGGTTGGCATCGTCTGTTAGCTTAGCTGGGACCTTCTATACCTCGGATTGCCAGAGGCTTGAACAGTTTGCCCTCCAGCCAAAGGGGTGCTGGGCCCAAATATCCGCTGAGACAACAATCTTAAGTGCTGTGTTGTGCAAATTCCCAGATAAAGGCAGGAAGCACTAAATGCATGGTGATGTTAACATGGCAATTAACGATGAGGATGAGGATGATGGTGATGATGATGATGACAAGGAGGGTGATGGTGGTGATGAGGAGGAGCATGACGATGATGATGATGATGATGAGGAGGAGAAGAAGATGAGGATACACGGGGAAATGACGATGAGGATGATGATCATACTGGTGATGGTAAGAGGAACAAGATAAGCACCTGCTAGAGGCTCGGCTGTCAGTGTCCGGCATGCTGCATCACAGACCAACCTGATTCTCACCCAGTGTGTGACTCTGCATACTGCACTGATGTCGTCACCGCTTTGTTGGCCCAGCGTCAGGAAACTTGTGGCTTCCGGAGCTCTGCTGATCAGCGGCACAATGCTTACACCTAGGACCTAGGACGAGAACCTGGCAGAGGAAACCTCCGCCTGCTCCCATATACAGACCCCCCAAAGAGACCCTCAACCGCACCAGCCCCAAGCATGCACTCGAGTCCCTAAACCCTTCAATAAGCCCCAAACTGTAAACTCTGGCCCGAGACTTTGGGTAGAAAACGTACCGTTGACTCGCTCGAGCCCTAGGCTCGCAAGTACTACCCCGAGAGCTTAAGCCTAAAGCAAGAAGCCAATCCTAAACCCTACGTAGGCCCCTAGGTCCCTAGGACCCACCCGCAACCCCAAACCTTCGATTGCCAACCCGTCCAAATCCGTAGACACCCAAGCTTCTACTACAGACTACTAACCCTAAACCCTACACCCTGAACCCAGAACAACAAACCTCAGATCGACCCTGTCAGCCGACCTGCGAAGTGCACTTCCCGGGCGAACCTTTGTCCACGGGCACCTGCAGAGCTCGGTGTGTAGAGTCAGCGCAGAGCTTAAGGGTAAGGATTCCTTTAAGGGCTCCGTTTTCAGGGGTCCCTTGAAGGGTTTAGGGTGCGCAAGGGCCTAGCGTAGGCTGAAGCTTCAGCGTTTAGATTTAGGGTGTAGGCTTTAGGGCTTCGGGTTCTCTGGGGTTTGGTTACTGCACAGTGGCTTGGCCTAATGTCGTGCAGGGGCCTGGTGTACATTGTACTATAAAAATACACTCGGCACTTCAAGGGCAAACTATGATTGAATCTTGTCTCCCCATTCTTACATCACGCGCAGCCGGAAGCCTCAGCGGCTGCCGAAGCAGCGTTGGCAGTGGGCTTACCTGCGAAGCGGAAGGAGCATCAGCTGGCTCCGGCTATCTGCAAGAGCACTATGCCACTGAGTGAAGCCCGGGAGAACCGAAATCCAAGTGTCAAAAAAAAACATACCACCAAGAACACCACTTTACGTAGAGATGCAGAGAGGAGCGAGAGCGAGAGAAAGGGAGGGAGCGAGAGTCTGAAGGACGTTACGAATCATGAGGAAGAACAAGAAATGAACTGTTGGTAATGGTTGTAATCACAGGCGCACTGAAGCAACAGCAACATGCGTACCTATCTATTTCCTGATACCTATCATCAGCCCGATCCGGTATACCTGGGTCCAACTCCGGAGCTTGGGAGTTTTGATGACAGGATCCATGTGAAAATGACCTGTGACTCAAAGGACTGCAGAGCGTCTCTCATCAGGGTTTGGGCTTGGCACTTCGGGTACCAGATTTGGGGGTTCGGGCAAGGGCCCAAGAGCGCCAAAGCGCTGAGTCTCGTGCAAACGCTTCTAGACTTCTACATCCTAGACCCTTAGGGACCCTAAGCCCTACGCCTTCTACCGGGGCCCCTAAGCCCCAGACTCCCGACATGAGGCCCCGGCGATTGGAACCGCCGGATCTCTGAGTGGCAGCAAACTTTCGCTTTGCTTTGTTGCTCCCCTGAGAGAGGAAAAGAGCACAGGGCATAACGGCATAACGGTATAATTTTGCTGGCCTCAAAGACTAGAATTGGGCATCGGCGGGTAGAATGTCTCCTCATGGTCGCTGTACTAGCATATCCGCCTATTATGGGTTGACCGCGTGTGGGCTTTAAGAGATTGTCGCCTCTAAACTGTAAAGCGCTAAGGCTTGCGGCCTCCATGGGGCTAAGGGCGTAGGATGCCGCGGGATTTAGTTTTTTCGGCTCCGAGTGCTTTGGGTCTGCGATGCGCTGTTCGCGACTCTGAACTCTGCATCGCAGCAGGTTGCTGGGCTTCAGGAACTCAAAGGTTGATGTCGGGGGTTTGCTTAGGGTTTGGAGTCAACCCCGCAGCTCAAACCGCGAATCCTGGAGCCCCAAAATCCAAGGACTTAAGTCGCTTAGCCCCAAGTGGGAAGCCCTGTAAGTCTCAAGTGCTGGACCTACGGAAACAAACGCACAACCCTTTTAACCCTTGTAATCCTACGACTTATAAGCGAAAATCTTAAACCTAACAACCCTAAACCCAGTTACTAGATTTCAAAACTTAAAGTGTGAAGTAGCTTAGGATCCACCATCTGATAGGGACCAACACAGCAGATGAGCCTAAGGATCTCACTACTAGTATGACTTTCTGGAATCCACCGCCTACGGGCCGTATACCTAGACCCCCCAACGACCCTGCAACATACCCGAACTATGAAGCACTCTGACAGGCCTCTAGTCAGGATCATTACCTTGCAGGGTCCTACGCCGCAACGCGGACACTTCTGTGTATATGATCCTCTGGGGCAGTATCTGACGGTGAGTTCATGACTAATATGTCTGCTGATCGCAGTTTGGATCCTCTTGGTCTTCCGAGTGCCGGACCATGCCGCTAGCTTTGCCAACGGCGGAGGCCAACGGGTTCTACAGCCAGTGCACTATTCCCAGTGGGCGCTGGGACTTGGGAATTGTTCCTGGGACTGCGGTTTCGGAATCTTGCCAAGCGGCGGCCGGGTGGTGAAGAGTAAGAAAAGAGGAATCTTGAAACCTCAACACTTAAGAACATTTTGGTTTGCATCTGCCCTTACATCGGATAGCAACTCTTGCGATGAAGAGCACCCCTGTGCATGTGCAAATACGCATGCCGCATGAGCTCAAGACAAAAAGCTGCGGCAGCACACAGTAACCGAGGCCCGTCCAAGGCTTGGTTGTCACTGACTGGGACGTTGGGGCCCGTAAGAATTTACCGGGTGACCTCCCCGATACCATTCAAAGCGCCATGACTTCACCGACTTTCCCGAACGGCACAGCCAAGAAATCCTCAGCCTCAGAAAAGGCAGACCCCGAAGCCTTTGAGGGTTGGGGAGGTTTGGGGTTCAGGGTTTCGGTTTAGGGCTAAGGGCTTGCAGGTCGTGGATTTAGGATGGGAGGACTTCCAGGATATGCACCGAGCTTAGGAGTGATGCATACGGCTTGGTGTTGCAAGACCCCGGCGCGCAAAATGCCACGGGCCGACGGGTCGCAAGCATGCCAACCTTATGCACCTGGACGTCTAAGCGACCTACCACTGCTGTCTCTTGTGTGGAGAGGCTCGGTGCGTACATGTGCGCTCCTCCTGTATGTACGTGCACATCTCCTCCAGTCATGCATGGTTGCACGCATGACTTGAAGCATGTATGTCAGAGTATGTCAGAGAGAGCGCGAGAGGAAGGGAAGCAGGGCGAGAAGGGGAGAGAGAGAGATACAGATAGAGAGAGAGAGAGAGGGGGAGAGACAGACATGCAGATCGACAGCTCGACAGATAGATATATAGATAGATACGTAGATAGCTAGGTAGGTAGATAGATAAACAGATAACAGATACGCAAAGATACACGCATGCACACACACACACACAAACACGTAGGAAGAGAAAGGGAGAAAGAAATCGTTGATCTGATGATAGAAATATATAACTCTATATATATATATATTATGTGCAAAGACAGAGACCCAGTGCTCCAACTGGGCAAAACCCAACACTAAGCGAACCCAGTGCATGAAGACGCACTCCCCAAGGACCGCTTTCTTTCCTGCCCGACGATCGCATGGATGCGGCAGTCACGTGCACGAATGCCATCATCCGAAGTGCGAAACATGCTCAGCACCCTCTGCAGAGCCTGCGGGGTGACCGTGGCACATCAGCGGTCGTTCAGAGGACTACGCTTGGCATCCAATTTTTGACAATTCTTGGACTTTGGGGTGTTCGGATTTTAGGTAGGGCCCCGGCAGTTTAGTCTGGCTGCGAGCTCTGAGCGCATATATTCTAAACCACTTAAGAGATTGGGTTTGGGCTCTATAGTGAGATAGAGCGCTTCGCAGACTTTGACGCCTTAGGCCAGTAGCGCCCCAAGACACTCCCAAACCTCTGGTTCTCTGGGGTTCGAAGCTGACGTAGAGTTTGGGGTTGGGGTTTAGAGTTTGGGGCTCAGGCCCTTCCAGAACCCGACAGAGAGCTCTTTAAAGCACCCGCCTCCTCATTCTGCTTGTAGGTGGCTTCGAGAAGGTCCGTCAGAAGCTGCTGGTGAAGCGTCCGGACGGTTGGAAAACCTGACAAGGACTTGCTGCTCTTAGCTTCGGGAGTGCACGACATTTAGCAGACATCCGTTCAATCCCTAGCAGGTTAAACACAAGTGACACGTATAATCAACTGAAGGTTGGGATCTGAGTAGCTGGTGGGGTTGTCGAGAAAGTGTAGCGGCCTAAGCCCACCTAGACCCTTCCACTATGCCATGGAACATGAAAGACGCCCAATGTAGACTAAGGACTCGTAAATTAGGAAAAACGGAGAGCTTCAACTCAAAGGCAGATTTCACGGCGATCGGATTCCGCAACCTGGCTCAGGGCTCGGATCTTATGCATCAGTGTTCAAGCTTTTGGGTGCAGAGTTCAAACAGGCCAATAGAACACAACAGGACAACAGGCATGCCTGAGGCGAGCGTGTCTACCGCATGCTTCGTCTGCACATGCCTGAAAGCATCGGTGCATCACAAGCCCTAAACCCAGAACTTCGATGCAGCCAATGCAAGGGCCTTCCTGACGGGACTAGGTCTTGAGTATGTCATGCGAGGGGATCGTTTCACTAAATATATCTACCCGCATGTCACAGCCGCAGATGCTTTTGGAACACTATCGAACCAGAAGTATTGCTTGATCTTCTAGGAGCAATAGGCAGCCTACGTCTCCGAATCTTCAGCAGCATGTCTCGTGCCATACAATCGGCTTCCTATGGTTCTGTACTGGGCTGTCTTGTCGGCTCCTGAACACATCCAACAGGAAACCCAAAGCCTAAGTACCCACGGCACAAACAGTAGACCCTACGCCTCGAACTCGAACCCTGAGCCTAAGCTCTAAAAGTTTTAGTGTATACATCTAGAACCCTCAACCCCTTTTAAACCCTATGACACTATGAACCCTAAACCCTAAACCCCTAAAACCCTGAAAGCCCCCTACACCCATCTGAAACCCCTTGCTGCGCCCAGGAGCTCTCAAGAAGATGTGCGGCGGCGATCTGCCCCGAAGAACCCGGCCACAAGTGCTCCTGGTCACAAGCCCCCCCCTTCGTTTGGAGGATCTTCGGGCCTCTCGGTCCTTTTTGCTGTTGGGGTGTAGGGTCTTGGGTGTTCTGGGCCTTTGGTTCCCTTTTTGTTGGGGTTTAGGGTTTAAGGGCTTTTCTGGGCCATTCGGCTTTTAGGCTTTGGAGTTTTGGGGGTTTTGGAGCTGAGGTTCTGGAAGGTTTCGGGCTCGGATCGCAGCCCGCTCCTCACCCTGAAAAGGGAAAATGCTGAAGCAACTCCGGGCATAATGCAATGGTCCTGAACTTCTGATCCCCGAAACGGTAACGACCTAAATCCTAAGACCCTCATCCACCAAAACTCCCCAACCCCGGGTTTCAGACGGGGATCTCCCCTCAAAGAGCCGGGTCGACACAGTTTTTTTGCTGTTCCAACTCCTTTTGGTTCTTCTATGTCCTGGAAGACTGCTACGGCTGAAGCCTGGAACCCCCAAGCCCTACCCTGGCGGTGTCCCGTGTGCCACCCCAGGTGGTGTAAGGGCTCATGGCGAAAATGCACGGGTGCAGCCTCCGAACGGAGAGGTTCAGAGGGCTTCAAACCCGGTCCCTAAACCCCCCAAATCGCCCAGAAACAAGCCCGAAAGCGCTCCCTGCACCGAACCTAAGCTCTTCGTCTGGGCTTCCATGCAGTTTCGGGAGTCTCGGGTTCCCTGGCCTGGGGGGCCTTGGCTTGGGATTTGGGGGCCTTTGGGGCTAGGAGTCCAGGATTTGAGTTTGGAGCTCTAGGGTCTTGAAGCTTAGGGCTTACGGCTGAGGAAAGGGAGGGAGTCGTACAATGTGTGTGCGTAATGCAAGGCACGACACAAGTATACGCGCGGAGAAATAGTTACACGGAGCAGCCGGTATCAGAGCACGTGCTGCATGTTGGCTGGGCATGCAGTACTCAAGCATGCATGGGTGTAAGTAAGTTTATTGTATGCATACACGTACAGGTCCAACTACACATGGATGCATGTTCTGAGTCGGGGTCCAGTTCTCTGGATCCCCAACAGAGCTGATCATTGCTATAGCAAGAACTCTTGCCACGGATCCTGATAATGTGGAGAGACCGCCCATAGACATGTAGACAAAGCACATGACAGGGATGCTCGGAGGCCGAGGACCCTCCAACACCCCCAAAGGCTCCCGAAGAGAGCTTCGTGAAAAGATCAGGAGGGTTATGAATAACGTAACTTTTGCTGTATCTACGTAAACTTAGAGCAAGGACTGCGGCTTTGGCCAGTGAGTCCCGATACGGTCAGAGCCTGCAAGTAGGAAAAAAAAAGAGCCAGGCCAAACATGCCAGAGGAGCACACCCCAAGGTGGGGTGCGGCGCGCCCCGAAAAGCTCCGACTGCGGAGAATAGAGGCCCATGTGCAGGCGGCGCTTCCAGTCAGTCGTGTAGCCGCTCAGCTTCTTGCTTGAAGGGCTCCTGAACATGGGCTTGATCGGATCCCCGCAGGAATCAATTACTCCCAAGAAACCAGCTACAATTTGCTCACCAGGCTTCGAATACATTTCCGAAATCGTGAGCCCAAGCAGATGTCGCAGGACTTGCTGGTCGAAGTAAAGCGGCTGCCTCACTATGTGTTGTCATGGGGTGCCCTTCGAGGTATCGAGATTTTAGCTTGCGGAGGACGGACAGGCGACGACGCTACCCAGAAACTCGAAATCCCTGCAAGCTCCCGACCCGGTGATGCCATAACACACCGGAAGGGCTCAGATACGGTACAACTCTAGTTGCCTTGCTGCTAATGCTAACTATGTTTTTGAGTAGAAGGTGTGAAAGTAGCTACCTCGATGATAACCCCAATTACTTTTAAACCCTAGGAGGACAAATATATGGGAGACCTGTTGAGGCGAGATGTTCGAATGTCACGGAGACGCGTCGGACCGCGAAGACACGTGAATCCGAGGAACGTCTACATTGGAAGGGTTCCCCAAAGTATCCGAGCTTGCGGAGGGGTAAGTTTGTATTTCTGGGCTCCAGGGCTTCCCGGAACCCTGCAAGAAAGCCAAGAAGCCTGCAAGAAATGACGCCGGAAAGCACTGCGAAGACAGCACCAAAATGTGTTGACTCCTCCAAATGTTACAAGATCGACCCCAAGAGGAGACCAAAGCCCGTTGTAAGTGGCACGGCATTGTTCTCTAGGCTTTCCGTTTTGCCCACGAATCTGAGGCTGAGGCTTTTTGTGGTGAAATCTCGGAACGCCTGAAGGCCTGAAGTCCCTCTAGGAACACCTGAAATAGCTGTTTCGCGTGGCTGCAAGATCATCATCGACAACCACAGAGCCACGAAGCCTGAGCACATCGAGAACGCAGGGTGTGAGGTTCTGGGTGTCTTTCAGTTTTGGAAAACCCTAAACCCTCCACCCCATAATTTGGACCATCCTCCCAGGCTCCCAAGCGTCTCAGAGATTGCAGGTCTACGAGCCTCGGGTTCAGGGTGCGGATACGGTTTTTGGGTTTAGGGCTTAGGCTCCTGGCATGCGAAGCCCCTACAGGCACGGTGTGGAGCAAAACCCAGGTCACCACACCCGAAGCCAGGGTCTGTTTTGGGGGAGACCGAAACCCAACCCCCACAAATAGCACATAGACTAGACCCTGAACCCCAAATCCTAAACCCTAAACGGAAGCCCCATAAGTAGCCACAAGCTGCAGCTGGGCAGCGCAAAGCCACAAAGGTACTACGCACGAGGAGCAAGCCGGCGTTGACGCAGTTCCACGAATCTCCCTGCCATCATTCAGGCTTTGGGTTGGGAGTGTGTCATGCTTTTTGTGGTGCAGGGTTTCGGGCTTTGGGCGCAAAGGGTGTAGAAGATGTTTGTTTAAGATGTAATTTAAGGTTACGGGCTTCGGGACTGCAGCCCAAGCCTTACTACAATCATTATTCAGCTTGTAGGGGCTGTAGCGGAAAGATCCCACTGTAACTACATCGGGGCTAGCATTGTTCCTTAGACTCCCACTTTTAAATCCTCAACGGGCCTAAACCAATGTAACAGAGCTTCAATGGACCAGTATTCCCAATTGTCCCTCCTCTGAAACAACCCTGAGAACAACCTGCGCGTAGAGTCAAGAACTCGGGCCTCAAAAACCGCGAAGCATAACACGCCAAAGCTAAACCCGAGACCAACAGGAACAGTCTGAATATGTCTTAATCCTAGTATGCATTGAGGCTTTGGTGTTTGGGGCTTCGGGCCTGGCCACTCTTTGAACATATAACCTACTGTCACGATCCCCAGGTCCCTCTTAAGCTGAGGATGCTGCGGACTCGTAGGAAACAGAATACAATCTGGACACAATGAGCTTGAGAGACCGGAGATTCAATCAACACAAATGGGAGCGGTTGGTGGCTAACTGAGGCGGGAGCCGGACTCGCAGAGAATCAGATGACCCAAGAACTTCAAGCAAGTGCGGAATTGTTGAAAAGCAAAACTCGCAATAAGAAAGGTACCCTTTTTCCACTATTCAACTTTTCATAGGCAACCCTGTGCAAAAGGGTTACTACTGGGGACCTAGGCTTCCTACAGGAAACCATGAAACAATCGTCACCAGCTGCTTCTCCCTGCTTGCAGGAAACGTCTGCTACACATCATGCAGCTGATGCTGCACCGCCGTGCTGTCACCAGGTGACTCTAGAGTAATCGCGTAGGATGGCAGCAGAATCCCCTTTTCCAGGGGTCTCGCAGCCACCACCGTTTTCCCCAAATAACGACAGATCCATCACTCAGGATTGCAGCAAATGCCTGATCAGAAGCTTGGATCTGCTGGACATCTCGCAGCTGCTCCTGTTTTGCACTGCTGTCCTGTTTTGCACTGCTGTCGCCACCATATCCGGCGGGCCCCCAGGTGACCACAGATCCATCACTCCGGACTCCCCAGGTGACGACAGAACCATCACCCAGGATTGCAGCAAATGCACATGTAGCAGCTTGGATCTGCTGTACATCTC